ATTCAATATATTCAATTTTGTTAAATTAGACTTTTCTAAAGTCCTATTTAAAAATTTAATTCTTGAAAGTTCTATATCAATTATTGAAGAAATAACTTTGTCTTTCTTTAAAAGTTTAATGATACATTTTAAGTAGTTAATTAACATAAATACATAAGAATACATCAATCCTAAATGTCTCATACTGAAAGCAAAATAATTCTTACACGATTTTGTGCACTTTTCAATTCACAGCTACTTTATTTATGGACTTTAACTGGTGACAAAAAAAATGGCTCAAAAAAATATCAGCTCCAAAAACTGACAAATGTGCAGCAAAAGATTATGAAAACATGCAGTGGTTTCATTAAATTAACAACAATAAATAGAAAAATGTAACTAACGTATTACCAGTTTGTGCCATAAATTTAGCAGCATCAGCTTGTTCCTGAGGGACCCTTTTTTCATGAACAGATCGAGGTCGCTGACTTTTAATTGTATGATCTCCCATCATTCCAAATTCTAAAGACAGAATAAAGGTATATGAAAGCTTGTGTGTAGACATTTCTCACAAATTACATTACTGTCTCATGCAAATGTTCCTACACATACCTAGAAGATATTGATTATATTCACAATTCTGAATTTGCTAGGCTGATCTGCTTGGAATATTTCTAAACTCAAGTCAGAAAACCTATAAACATGAACAAGGTTTCAAGAAACAATAACAACAGTCAATGAAATGACACATCATGTTTTAAATCAACTTAATTAACAGAAATATTGTACTCTTCTGATAATGTTTTGAAGCAATACATAAGAAAAATACAACCACAGTATTAACTGTTGTTTTTTCAGAAAGAGAATCCTGACTGGGTAGTATCTGCTTTTTTTGCCAAATAGTAATAATCACCCCCAGAAGTTTGTCAGCACTTTTCTTATTACGAGTTACTCGATTCTGTAATCTAACTTTTCTAAGGTAGGGCCATTCCCATAATGTATTATGTTTTTCTTCCAAAAATGAGGTTGCCCTTGGTGTCCTCAAAGGCTCATGAAAAACGGTGGCCTTAGGAATTCTCATTCTCTCCTGCCCTACCCCAAATAATTCCTCACCCCTTTTCTAACCACATACAAGAGAATATTTTCTCTTTTAAAAGTTATATTTATGGAATAGAAGGACTCTGGCTTTCTGTTATTCAACCTTTTGATAGTAGAGCTCCTAAGAAAGGCCAAATATTTGGGTCTAACTCAGAGGCAAATGGGGGAGAGAAAAAAATAAGTTGAACAAAATAATAGCTTGTATGTAGTATATATTTTTAAAGAACCATGTGCTTAGCATTCTGCAAGAGTTCTGTGTTTATTGAACTGTTGCTATAATTTTAATAAAACCAAAGCCCAATTCATGGAACAGTTATTAGTTTGGACTCATAGGAGTGTAAGTAGGGGTAGGCAATCTCTGAGGGGCAAGAAATTGTGGTGCTTTCTCTTCATCAAGAAAATTATTACGCCATTAAGGCCAGGTCTTTTATACATGACAAAGACGATTGGGTAAAATGTGTTCTAATGATAGTGCAGACATATTACTACAACAAATAATGTCAAAATTTGGAAGCAAATCATTTCACTAGGGGCTTATCTTTTTCCCATCAATTCTTAAATAATGTTATGCTAAGATATTACAACATCCTTTGTGCAATTAAGCAGTATATTTTGTAAGCACTAATTCTACCAACTCTTGTCTTGGATGTAAGGAGAAAAGACCAGCATATGTTTCTGTCTGTCCTGGCAAATTCCCTCATAAAAATTAAACTATGGTACCTGGCAAATTGACTTACTAGAAATTCTTTCCAGATATTCTACCCAAAAGAAACATCTCCTGAGAAATTTGAGGAATCTAAATGTGCATTTATTTTTGTCAGTTTAGATAATATCCAAAGCAGGAAATGCAAATTTTCATAAAATGTCAGTGGGTTTGATCTTGCAAAATCCATCACTGTTTTCCATTACTGCCAATATCCTTTCATTCCATTCATTTATGTACACAACATGTGCTGCCTAAATCATGTTTTACCAGGCTAATAAGAAGTATCTAACCACTTATCCTTTAATGATTTTGGAAATTTATCATTTAGAAAGTTTATATCTAGACTGTTACACACTACCCAATATTTTAAAAGATTATACACAATTAAAATGTTTCATGCCTACAACTTAATTACTCAGTAAGTAACTATATAGCCAGTTTTAATAGAAGGCAATCCTTCAATGAGGTGGCAGCATTATAATAGCCTGAAATCTCTCTTCTAAAGAGAAATAGTTTATGTGTACAGAGAGTATGATCCTGAAATTTAAGGGTCTGAGTATGTTGGTGGACAATGCTGGGATGATTTTAAAGTGTCATGTTCAATTTTTAATCATTTCTTAAGTTTAAGCACAGTTGAAATATTTATTTTTTTAAATAGCATTTAAGCAACTCATTTTACATTATTAGCTGGAATGTGATTTACATCATTCAAAAAATATATATAATATAAATTAAATTTCAATATC